CTGCCAAAGTGCAACAAATGCAATTGCCACCACCACGGTAACTTCCGTGAAATGCAATATAAAAACTGTGACAGGAAAGGGCACACTGCCCGTTTCTATAAGGCACCGGCGCGACCAATCACTCAAGTTCCTGGTACTGGAGTAAGTTAGGCATGTTATGGGTGTGGAGAAACTGGGCACTTCAAGAGGGATTGCCCCAAGGCAAGGAATGCTGGCGGTGTTGGAAGAGTGCTAGCAATAGGGCAAAATGAAGCAATAGCGGACCCCACGGTAGTTATGGGTACGTTTCTCCTCGACAACATTTATGCATGCATACTCTTTGACTGCGGTGCGGAGAGAAGTTTTGTGAGTCATAAATTCAAACACCTACTTAATCAAAAACCCCAACCACTCAATAAAATATTCACTGTAGAAATGGAAAATGGTATAACGGAAAGCACAAGCAATATGTACGTAGGATGCACATTAAATTTAAACGAGCACTTATTTCAAATCGACCTGATGCCCATTTCAATAAGAAGTTTTGATTGGTTAAGCCTTAACCATGCCGATATACTTTGTCACGAAAGGGCCATTCGCCTCAATCTGCCAAACGGAAAAACTCTTGTCATTTATGGTGACAAACCTAGTTCAAATTTACAAATCATCTCTTGTGTTAAAGCACAAAAATATCTTCGCAAAGAATATCATGCCTTTCTAGCCCACGTAGTAGACAAGAAACGAGAATCGAAGAACATTAAAGACATTCCGGAAGTCTGCAACTTCCCAGAAATCTTTCCAGAAGATCTCCCAGGAATCCCACCAGAACGCCAAGTCGAGTTCAGAATCGACTTAATTCCCGCAGCTACTCCAGTAGCAAAATCGCCATACCATCTAGCCCCGGCCAAAATGCAGGAACTGTCCAGCCAACTAAACGAGCTGCTGAGCAAAGGCTTCATCAGGCCAAGCTTCTCACCATGGGGAGCACCAGTCCTATTCGTGAAAAAGAAGGACGGATCCTTCCGCATGTGCATCAATTACAGAGAACTGAACAAACTCACGATCAAGAATCGATATCCCCTACCGCGCATAGATGATTTGTTCGATCAACTACAAAGAGCAAGCTACTTCTCAAAGATCAACCTAAGATCTGGTTATCACCAACTGCGAGTATTGGAAGGAGACATCCCCAAAACGACATTCTGAAGACGCTATGGCCACTACGAGTTTGTAGTGATGCCCTTCGGATTGACAAATGCACCAGCGGTGTTCACGGACTTGATGAACCGAGTATGTCGTCCCTTCTTGGATAAATTCGTAATCGTGTTCATCGATGATATACTCATCTATTCAAGAAGCCAGGAAGAACACAACCAACACCTCCGCCAAGTTTTGGAAACATTGAGGGTAGAGAAGCTACACGCAAAATTTTCAAAATGCGAGTTTTGGATTCGGGAAGTAGATTTCCTAGGTCACGTTGTAAGCAAAGAGGGAATACACGTGGACCCTTCAAAGATCAAGGCAATAGAGAGTTGGACAACTCTAAGAACCCCAACAGAAATCCATCAATTTTTGGGACTCTCCGGATATTACCGAAGGTTCATACAAAACTTTTCGAAGATTGCCAAGCCACTTACCACCCTAACTCAGAAGAGTGTGACCTTTGATTGGGGAGAAAAACAAGACATCGCGTTTCAAACACTAAAGCGAGCCTTATGTAGTGCGCCCATCCTAACCTTTCCAGAAGGAATAAAGGACTTCGTAGTCTATTGTGATGCGTCAAACCAAGGACTTGGATGTGTCCTGATGCAACGAGGGAATATCATCGCCTACGCCTCAAGGCAACTAAAGATGCACGGAGTAAACTACACGATGCACGATCTTGAACTAGGAGCAGTCGTTTTTGCTCTAAAGATATGGAGGCACTATCTCTACGGCACGAAATGTACAATCTTCACCGATCATAAAAGCCTCCAGCATATCCTCAACCAGAAAGAACTTAACATGAGACAAAGACAATGGGTAGAACTACTAAGTGATTATGAATGACGTAGTGGCTGATGCACTCAGTCGAAAGGAATACTCGGGCAGCAGAGTGAAGTCTCTAACTATGACAATCTATTCACACCTGTCCACGCAAATCAAGGAAGCCCAAATAGAAGCCCTAAAATCTGAAAATGTGACAGGAGAAGCCTTAAGGGGAATGGATAATAAGCTTGAAGTCAAGAATGATGGAGTTCGTTACTTCATGGATTGAATCTGCAGTCTTTAAAATCCCTTGAAGTTTACTAAGTGTAACTTCTTCCTTGTTCATGTGGTATGTCATTCTAAATTGATCATAACATGAAGGTAAGGAGTGCAAAATGATATCTATTGCCATCTTCTCAGGAAAGTCAACATTTAGTTTCTTCAAACGATCCACAAACCTTTGCATTTTCTACATGTGGGCCGTGATGGTCTCACCATCCTTCATTCGGGTAGTTATCACGGAGGAGATAATTTCAAAACTTTCTTGACGAGCACTTTGATGGTAGCGGTCCATCAAATCCATGTACATCTCAAAAGGGTAGTGGTCCTCATAGGACTTTTGGAGCTCAGCTGTCAGAGTGGCCATAATGATGCATGCTACCTTAGTAGCATCCCTTTCATGTGCCTGAAATGCAACAATCTCCTCTGGAGTAGCAGTTGACTCATCAATATCCCTTAGCTCCTAATCAAGGACATATTCTTTGTCCTCATAACGAGTGACCATCCTGATGTTTCTGATCCAATCCATAAAGTTGGATCCATCAAAGATGACTCTCCTACAAAGATTCATGAGAGAGAAGGAGCTAGTAGGGTTTGACCCAAAAGCATTGTTATTGGAAGACATCTGAAAAGAAAGAAAGAATAGATTAGATTAGATGTAAAGATAGTCCTTAATAATACACCTAAATGTAATATTAAGGCTAGGACCCAACACAATATTTTATAACTTAGAAGAGGGATGCCGTAATCTAAGTTATAAGATATTTGAAGGTAGGTGAATGATGATTCACCAATTTCCACCATGAAAAACAAATTATTTAATTATGTTCTAATTGGTTTAGAAACTCCTAGATTCTTTGCGATTCATTGAACTTTAAAAGGGCATGTTTCAATCTCGAGTGTGCCCTTCAAGTTTTGTGATTGGGATGCCGAGGATCACAAAAAAAGGTGTGAAGTAACTATGAAAATTACTTGGTACCATTAATGTACTACTCCTCAATCAATGTGTTGGTTAATGTTTCTAGTCCATTTCCAACAACAAAACTCGAAAATGTGGACACTGCAGCCTCTACTCATCGAGTGCATGAACAGACTCGACGAGTAGCATGCATTTCTTCATGGACTCGTCGAGTCCCCCCATGGACTCGGCGAGTTCATACGGGCAATGAACAAAAAAATTCAATTTTCAAGCTATTTGCATCAAGTATCAAGTAAACAAGCCTAGGCTCTAATATCACTGATACGTTTTGAGCATTCTAACACTCCTATGGTGTAAATGCAACTCTAGAAACATTTGATCTATGTTTGACTAAGATACATGCAAATAATCATTTTTACAAGGTTCTTATCCTAACTAGCATGGCATGTAGTACTTGAATCAAATAAAGCTAGCAGAATTACTTACCTTGTAGTTATAGTTGATTGCTTAGAGTTTGAGAGCCTAGCACCAATAGTGTGGATGCCTCAAATGGAAGTCACAAATCACCAAAAACTTGGAAACTCGAGAGAATAGTCACAACCTTTCTTGAAATTAACCCTCTTAGTATACTCACGACAACTAGTGTGATTTCAAGAACCAAAGCCTCTTTTATATAGTGTGGTGGATTAGGGTTACATCCATGTAAACCCTAATACCCATGTCTTTTCAATTTCATGAGATCCATGGGTTGAAGTTCCATGGAGTATCCATGGACTTTCCATGCAATCCTAGCCCATTCCAAATTAGCATTAGCCCACAGTATATAAATACAAGAGCCCATATTTAATCAGTCATACTTTTGATCTCTAAATTAATTATAGATCAATACTAATTATGATTTTATATAATATATTAGAACTTATAATATATTAATAAATTATAACTTATACTATTCTCAAAAGATTATCCATAAAATGTTCGGGTGAAGTGCAACCCATGTGGACCATGCCGGGTCGGGTCAAGTACATACTAAATATAGTTATGGACTTAGACACTATATCCAACAAAAAGCCCAACTCGTGATGGTCCAAGGCCCAAAAGAACGGACCAAAGATGAAACCGAGTCACACACCCCGTGTACAAGCGACTGATACAACAAAGGGAGTCGGGGCCAAGGTGCACCATACACAACGTATGTCTATTTACGCCCGACGTACGCACCCAGAGTCAAAACTCTTATTTAGGTCTTAATGCCTTAAGACCTTACGTCCAAAGTTCAGATATGAGCTTATATATAGGCTAGACTATAAAGAATAAAACATGAGAATGGACAGGCCCATCTCAGAATAAATGGACCTATATAGCACATACATTTGACACAACTATAATAAACCCAACAATCTCCCCCTTTGTGTCAAATTCCGGAGGAGATTGTTCATTGTTGTTTCTTCTACACATTAAACAATCTTGGCATCAAATTCAGAAGAGTGTTGATGACCACAAGATACCACTTGATCATATCAGTAAAGCATTTCAGATAAGCAACGGTGTTTGATTTTCAAGCTTTAGTCGGTCCCATAATGGAGTTCAGTGCAACAGTGGAGTACAAATGTTTATCTTTCAAGAAAAACAAGTTCTTCTGAACTTTCTGACCATCCTTTCGTTGGTACACTACACACCAATTATCTTTTCTGATTCTGCCTAACTTCATCTTGAGGAGATCCGACTATTCTTCTTCAGGATTTAGAACATGCCTTTTCCTCAGAACAAATGCTATTTCTACATCCATCTTCGTAATCTCATGAATGTAACAAACAAGCATCCTCTTTCGATGAGCTACGATTGACTCGTACTTCTATTCATCTTTAGACAAAATCATGAACAAGGAAAACCAATCGTAAGAATTCATGCATGGAAGACCAACAAGTGTATATTCATTTTCAGAACGAATAGCTCCTCGGAATCCTTTGAATTTGATGTTTATGAAGTTTTCAGTCGCAATAGGTGTATACACCTTTACAACAACAATGTTCTTAAAGCTCCAGGTCAAGAATTGAGGCTTTCTATACTTAAAATATAAAGAGAAGAGCATGTGATTAACATCATAGTCCGAGAGTGGAGCTCTCTCAATCTTCTCGAATCATCAAAACATAAAAGCTCTAGGAGTAATCGGAAAATCAAACTGAGAATCTGCAGTGTTATTCAGATCAAATTATACCGAAGGCTCCAACTGCAGAATGCTCAGACCATCAATTGCTTCCTTCTGAATTTTTTCTATTTTCCATAGAGGAAAGATCGTCTTTTGTGTTTCAAGAGTGACTTTTGCAACTCTAGCTTCAACCTCCTTTGCCTCTAACTCCTTATGATGATGCAACAGATTATCAAGCTCCATGTCGTGCTTCTTTCTGACTAGCTTTTCACCTTCTGAAAGTTCATCATCATCATCATCATCATCATCATCATCATCAAGAACTTTTTATTTTCCTTTACATGATGCAAAAGCTTCATTACCCTTCTGAGCATCAATCTTCAGGTTTTCTTCATGTTGTTCATTAGTCGGTTGATTTGGTTGGGGTTCTTCCATGCGGATTTCATCTTTATCTAATTTGTCTCCCCCTTGTTTCGGAAGAGCATCGCTACCCAAAACACCTTCTAATTGATTTAGCATTGCGAACATCGGTGTCACGAGTATCCACTAGCCATCGTAGATACTGATTAAATTTCCGAAACATAGCTTTTAACCACTGTCTTCTCGGAGTTCAAGTCATCAAGATGCTTGTTGGTGTAGTGAAGCTTTATCGACAGAACCTTGGATTTTTTAGTCTTTTCAGCCAGTTTATCCATGAGATTGTTCTTTACAACAAGGTATGTTTGAAGTTTCTGAATCTTCGACACAATGGAGGCGTTCAGCTCGGTGTTGTCAAGCTTGGCTTCAAAATGAACACGTGAAAGTTCCTATTTCTTAGTTTGCAAAGTAGTACCAAGACTTGCAATAACTTTATTTGCTACTTCGATATTTGTATCAAAAGAGCTTCGGAATTCAGCGATGAATTTCATAACTTCATCATATAGTTTTCAAGTTTCACCGTCGCTTTTTGAGATGGTTTTCTCAGATGCTTAGACTGACTTTGTGGATTCTGCATAGGCTTTTTCATTTTCTTTTGTTAACATCTCAACCATTGCTTAATGAGACTTCAACATGTACTCATAGTTAAACGAAGATTTTGAAGACTCCATAAGAGAATCCAAATTTTCATTGAGAGCTTTAAACTGCCCTTTTGGCATTGGGGCATCATCGTCATCACTAGTTTGATGGAAGGTGAAGGGGATAAAAACAAAATCTTGAAAATTATCTTGATCATCCCCAAACATAATATCTAGATCATCATCACAAAGTGGCGAAGTTGTAGACGTGCCTGGACCAATAGTAACACCAAAATTGATATCTTCCATCGTATCAGATACGTTGACAGTGACTTCTGATGTACTAACAGCTGGTGTTGTTATTGTAGCGGTTGAATTGGTAAAGAAGGTGGTGGAGAAAGGGACAGAGGCCTGTGGAGGTGAAGTTCCAACATAAAGTCTTCGTGGTAATGGAGGGATGGAGATCGAAATTGTAGTAGTGGTAGGACAAGATGGTGGAGTGTTCATCGGAAAGTAGTCAGAAAATGGAATAGTAAAAGTGGGTGTAGTAGATACCTTCGGAATTAGTTCGGTTGGGTTGGTTCCGAAGTGGTTGTTTTATCCTCAACTTCATTCTGAACTGGATCATCCTCATGAATATCTGAGTGTGTTATGGATTCCGAAGCCTCTTGAACTATTTGAGATGGTGATCTCGGTTTCCGAGCTTGCTTATTGACCTTCTGTTTCAGACTTTTGACAACATCAGAAGGACCAGATTTCGCTGTTCGCTTTCTACCCCTCTTTGGTTTGTTTGCCTCCTTAATCGCCTTTCATAATTCTTCTGACATAAGGCGAACTCCAGAGGCAGGCTACTGTCGATACTCAGTCACAATGGCATTGTTAGGCGGAACTTTTCCCAACATTACTTCTGGAATTGAACCCACCAAATCAAACTTGCTTGGTTCTGACTTCATACAGGTTGATGTTTGCAAAATCAGAATTGTCGCAACAACAAAATCTTCTGTCACTTGAACTTTGTAGTGGTTTAGGGCTCGTTTAACCACTAATGTGTAACGCCCGTAGATCCGGGCTAGTCAATTTAGAGACAATAAGGGTCGAAAATGACTTTTCAACAAAAGATTATTAAGAATAAATAATCTCAACCAAGTTTTAGTATATGTTACAAGGTTTCCGTACATATAAAGAGCGTCGAAATCCAAGTTATAACGAAGAAGTTTTGGCCTGTCGAAGTTTTACGGCAAAACCGGCACGGCACCGGGAGACGTAAATAGTGAATTTATGATAGAGCTTCTTTTAGCCTTAGTAATCTAAATGAAATTTGTAGAATATGTTAACCTGAGAGCGTCCATAAAAAGAACGCCCAAATCTGACTTCTTATGAGGAAGTTATGATTTCTCGAAGTTTCGGCTTCGCGGTGTACAGCCCGAAGTTCGAGTATTAAATCGAGCAGTTTTTTTAGCCGACACAACCTAAACGAGAATCGAAGATCTCATTATTAGTAGCGTAGCGATAAAAAGACAGACGAAAATGGACATCGGATAAAGAAGTTATGAGATTTTAACGGACCAATCATGTCCCGGCCTGTTAAAAATATAACTTTAAAAATAAAGTCAAAATTAGTCGACGGAGTGTAAACGAAAGTTGTAGAGTACGTCTCGACCTACGTGTGGATATAAATAACATGAAAAACGGAGTTTGTATGAACGAGTTACAAATTATAATAGCATATTTACGTATTAAAATAAAGTATAAATCATATATACATACACACACACACACACACATATATATATATATATATATATATACATATGTATATATTATTAGAAAGGTATCGACGATGCAGTCATTATAAGACTAATGTTGAGTTCTTTCGACATTAGTTCAGTGCAAATATCGTTAAATCTATTTAAAATAGTATTGTGAAGGGGTGTTTAGTTGTTTATATAACTATAAGGTCATTAAGTAATTGTGGAAGGTAGTTTTTGTAAATTTAATTACTATAAATATGAGGCTTGGGCTCTCATATTTCTTGCACCATTCTCTTGATTCAAGAGTCTTTCTCTCCTTATCCCCCGAGCATTTCGGTCCCTTGTGATTCGACTTCTCTTTCTGTAGTTTTAGTATAGTAAGTTGAGCGCTGAAGCGCTGCACGAATCTTTCTTAGAAAGATTCAGCGACGAAGTTCTGCCCTTGCAGAGCCCGACTCCTAGCTAAAATCCCACTGTAAGTAAGTTATGCTTACCCTATTTTAAATATAGTTTATTTTTAAAATTAGTATTGTTATTATAAATTTATAATAAATATTTGAGCTATTATTATGACTTATATAAGTGTCGTTATGATATCTTTTTAACTACCCGCGGTACGGGGAATCTGGTTTAAAGGGCCGCATAGGGTTGTTGGATTTCAAAAGTGCTATGCGCCAAAATGGTCCTGCCCTCCGGTGTTTTATGTCTGGCCCCTATCTGTACATAGTGGTTGGAAAGTATTGTTTAAATGCTTATATAATAATAATAATAATAATAATAATAATAATAATAATAATAATAATAATAATAATAATAATAATAATAAGACTAATAATTAGTCACGGTAATATTAGACGAAAATCTAGTGGTGATAATACTAGGTTTCATCGAAGGATATTATTTTAATGTAAAAGAAGCGTTGTCCGAGTACCGAGTCACCACCTTCTCAAATGAGTGCATAGTTACTTTCATCTTACACATAGATATGAAGTATTTTATATAAATTACGTGCTATGTGTGCATATTATGTGAGTACTTGTTGTCTATGCTAAATGAACGATTTTATACACGTTTTAAATGATTTAAAATGTATATGTATTTTATATCTAAAAATATGTTGGGATAAAACATGGGTAGATGAAATAGTTTCTATGAGACAAAAATAAAATGAGGAAGAGGTAATATAGACCATGAGATAAGGGTGAGAGGTGAACCATGAGAGAAGCCTTTTTCCCAATTGATGGCCCCGTCATCTAGCAGAGTATGGATGACAACCACGGACTATTCTAGACAGTCCAGTGGACACTAGCAGGCTCGCAACCTGTAGGTGTTTTGAACTGTGTATTCACCAGGTGTACTCTAAAAACCCATCGACATGTATTGCGAGTAGAGTCTCGGAAACGATACCGTCGATAAACGAGATAAAACCCATTGACCTGTATTGCGAGAGGAGTCTCGAAAACGATACTGTCAATAAACGAGATAAACCTTGGGAACTATGGATTTAGTGCCCGTTGAGTAAACCTTGGCAACGATGGATTTCATGCCTATTCCTTAGGATAACCCTTAGGAATAAATAAATGAGGAATAGTTGAATTCTTAGAGTAGAATAAAGAAGAGAATGGGGATGGGTAATTGGATTGATTGCTTAAATATTTAAACATAATAATTTATATTATTGTGGGTTGAAAACCCTATGTACTCACCAGGTTTCCCAACCTGACCGACTCAGTTTATTTACATCACAGGTATTGATATGCAGTCACATTACACTGAGAGATTAAAGAGATGTAGATCACTAGTGTAAATAAATGTAAGTTCCGTTTATGCTTATGTTTCTGTATTGACGATGACATCCCAAACATTTTAACATAAATAAAAATACGTTTCTTCGAAAATGTTTTCATAACGTGTTTATCGTATTTTTCTGGGAACAAATTCCGCAATATTTTTATGAAAAAAAGTAATCTGATTTTTATAAAGCATAAACAAAATCGGTCTTTTCTGGCCGTGAAAATGGGGATGTCACATAATGACCAAAATCGAGCACATGAAATCTTGATATTGCGACTAGTAGAAGTTATAATTTGAATCAGTTGAGACCACAAGATTGAACCATAATCTAGATTGATTCCATGGTAGAGACCATATATGATAGTGTAGAACAACTTACTCACATTGTCAGATCCAACGACTCGTTCAAAAAAAACTCTTGAACAGAAGAGTGAAGATCCCATTCCACATTGGAGGAAGAAACAACTTCCTGAACTTAGAAAAGAGGGATATGTCTCCATAGTATCCCATCTAGTGAAACATCTCGATATGTGCAGTAGTGGAAATTACTTAGGGATCCACAAGTCCTTCAGTTGAAGAAAGCCCTAGAATTCTGCAGAAACGGGCTTTGTTGATCGTAGACTTGTGTGAGGCTACCTCGAAGGTAATCACTCCATCAACTTGAATGTAGGATGCATAGGAGTACGCCTTAGACAGATGGACCAGTGGAACAAATTCTGCCATGGTTTTGATTCTTTACGACATGTTGACTTATTCCTAATCTCGTTCCTGGCTGTACTAAGGCTTAGAACACTTAAATGAACCCTTTAATGGCGTTAAAAAGTGACGAAATCAAATTTAACATTGATAAAAATTGACCAATCGTACAAAATGAAAGTTTCGGGTTGTCACACACCATCTTCTTTTTGTTGGATTAGGTGTTTAAGCCATAACTATATATGGTATGTACTCGACCCGGTTATAGAATGGTCCTTTTAGGTTTCCTTCA